TCGATATGATTGATCCCGGGATGTGCATTGGCCTCCCACCCCCCAGGTGCGTAGTCCTCTATGACGTCAGGGATCCAGACATCCCCTCCAGAGCACTCCACTGCATGGGTCCGGCTCACTTCAGAGGGTATGCCGTCCCTCTCCAAGCATCTCATGCACTCTTTGTACGGATGTCCCGGGAGGGCACCCAGCCTCCAGCAAAGTAGCCGACGACGGGTCTTCCTGGATATGAATGGGGTACGGGCTGTCAGGATTGCTGCGGGTTGATCTTTGTGGGTGATAGCGAGGGCAAGTTCCTGGTATTTCCCTCTTTGGTCTTCTCTTGCCGCTCGTAGCCTTTCTGCCTCCAGGGTGCTGAGCTCTTTGCTTCCTTGGAGGTTGTAAAACGGTAGAACTAGCGCTGCTTCTAAGGTAGGGAATTGGTCTGGTGCTGCCGTATGTCTATTCATGGCTTCTTGCCATAAGTGCGATGTGGTTATGACATTACGGAAATTAGGGTCGTGTTCGCCTTCAATTTCCTCCATGTCGAAAACCAGGGAGGTAAGGAAAGAGGGATCTTCCCTCCTATCCCACATGCGCACTCTCAACTTAGTTGCCAGAGCAATGTTGCGGAATTGCAGTGTCGGGAGGTTCAGTAGTCGACGAAGCCCCCGTTGAGTCGTTGAGTATGGGAGGGAGAGGCCGGTTCGTAATGCTTGGAGTTGGAATCGTTCGCATTGTTGAATGAGGGAGGCTGGGAATATGGTGAGCTGGAATCCATATTCGACCACAGGTCGAATTTAGATTTGTAGACCCTCAGAATTGTGCTGCCCGAGAAGCCGTTCCCCTAAATCCAAGGGGCACTATGTCTTTAAGCCTTGCTTTGCCAAATTGAATCCTGGCTCGCACATGGCGGTGGGGGTCAAAGCCGTACAAAGTGAACATGAATCCAAGGTAGCCAAAGGAAGTTTGTTGGGGAAGGATGGAGTCGTAGAGTTTGAGTGAGGTGAGCGCTATGTTGGCAAGATGCGTGGGGGCCAGGACGACAGTCTTGGCTGGAGCAAAACGAAAATGGTGCTGGCGACTTTCATATTCCAGGAATCGGATCATACGATACATTTCTGCCACTGAGCTAGCGATGATGACGATGTCATCCGCGTACAGGACCATAGATGTTGCTCCAAAGCGAGCGCGGAACCTTGATGCAATATCGTCAATGAAGTGGCTGTACAGAACCGGACTGAGGACTGACCCTTGAAGTAGGCCGATCTCCAACCAAAAAACCCCACTGGTTTCCCGGTTAATGGTGATAGTCGCCACACATCTATCAAACATCGCTTGTAGCAAAGAGACCAGGGTCTCATGCGTTCCCTTAGCGCGCAGTTTTTCCCACAATAACTTACGATCCACCGTATCGTAAGCTGCTTTAATGTCTAGGAAACATAGTAGGTGTCCTGCTCTCCCTCCATTTGTCGCCAAACGTGCTTTGATGATTGCGTTGAGAACCGCCGCCTGGTCTGCCGTCCCTCTGCCTTTACGGAACCCTCCTTGTGCTGAGTCGAGAGGCAACTGTCCCAGATGGGGTAGAATGGCTCGCTCAACCACTTTCCTCATGACCTGCGTTAGTGAGATAGGTCGGTGCTGGGTCACATCGGCGCTATCCCCTTTGGCCTTCCACAACGGGAGGATGTTCACCTGACTCCAGGCTGAAGGGCATACTCCCGCCCGAACCATGAAGTTAACAATGGGGGTCAACCATTCCGCGACTATGGTCCGAATTGGTTTAAGCACCTCTGCACGAAAGCCGTCAGTCCCTCCCGCCTTCCCGGAGGGGGTTCGACTAATGGCTCTCACGATGTCGTCAACGAAGGATATTGAAGACCTCAGGCGGATGGGGGAGAGGTGTTTCTGATAGGGGTGGGGGGTTTGCGGTCGGCTGTCCATTAATCGAATTCACTTTAGCAAAATGTTGACGGGCTTGCTCGAGAGATGCTTCATCGTTGCGGAGGCCCGATGCTGTGGTGTGACGGCCTCTTCGGCGAGAGGCAGCTGCAACTCTCCTGACGGTCTCTGTTTGTGTTGAGTTGTGCAAGGTCTCCGTCCATTTCTGGTATCCCGCAGTTTTCTTCTTTTGAAAGGTACGTTTCAGCTTCCTCCGAGCCTTCTCGTTCCTCCTCCGCCTGTGCATAGAGTGGGGACCACGTATACGTATCGTTACGGCGGTGAAGAGCAGATTGACGTTCTTTTGCCAAGGATTTCATCTCGTCATCCCAACACGAATCAGCCTTTGGGGACTTATTGGGGTTTCGTCGTCCTACCACCTCTGCTAGGACCTTCGCCAGAGGTGTGGTTAAGGCCGCCATTGCCTTATCCACTACCTCCAGTGCAGCCTTATCAGAGAGGTTGTCCATGTTGGCCCCCTCCAATGCGTTGGTGATGGCCAGCAACGTTCCTTCCCGTATTTCTGCGCATTTCTCTTTATATCTGTTGTGAATTGTAGGTTCGTTTAGTCGACCGTGTGAGAAGGGTTGCATCTCTTGATTGCGTTGTTGGGCTGCTGGAGGGAGTGATACTGTAGTCCAAATCAGTTTATGATCCGTATCCACAGGAGTCTGCCGCTCGGTTCTTAGGGGGGTAGTATGGGCCCTCAGACCAGCCGATACTGCGATGTAGTCAATGATTGAGTTTCCAGATCCTAAACCACTACGTTGGAATGTCCACGGGGGTACTAAAGACGGCGGGTTGTGGATCAGTTCAAGGTTGCCTTCCCCAGTCCATCAATAAACGCCGTCTTTTGCCATTCCGCAGACCCCCGTAGATCCCCGTTATGGGGGTTGCCCAGTCTTGTGTTAAAGTCCCCGAGGATCATTGATGGTTCTGCCGGGAACATGTGGTGCATCCGACGTATGGATACCAGTTTCTTCCGGTAGTGGCGAGATCTTTTGAGGTTAGGGGGAATATAAAATACGCCTATTCGAATCACCCCTTTAAACCGAAACCAGATGAAATCTCCCTCAGGATCCTTCTCTATTAATGTGAAATCTTCAGCGGAAGTTGTCGCTGGGTTCCGCATGATGCTGATTCCCCGGCGGGTGAGACCGGATCTGGCATCCATGGGGTCCGAGTGTCAAAAGGGACGTAGTTCTCATATCCAAAGATACGTGATTCTAGTGGTAAAAAGTTTCTTGTAGTCCCAAGAAGTGGAGGTTGTACTTGTGGAGGAGATCAATACATTCGTGGTAAGAGTTCGTGAGACCTCTCACATTCAGGGAACCCACCCGAATGGTAGTGGGTTTCCCGTTGTTCCTATTCGGGTGTGCCATCATTCAGACTCGGGGCCGTTACGCCCAAGTTGTTTGATGCCGAGGATGGTTGAGGTTCGATTGAGTAAGAGATGTTTTTCATTCGGGGAACACGGAACAGGTACGACGCGATGATGAAGGCCATGTCATGGGCCTGCACCATGTCTTGGGCCAAGTTGTTCATGAATCGGTCCTTCATCTCTTCCTTGCCGTCTCCTTCAAAGTAGGTGGTGCGTATGTCGATGGCTACGGTCTTTACTCTGCTGACCCGCATTACAAGGTTGTCTATCGCTTTCTGGGCGTCCTCGCCGTGGAAGGCAATCTCGGTCTTGTTCCCCATCATTCTTTGTTGGCGATGCTGTTGGTCGGGACTCCCTGGGCGCGTAGATATTGTCGAATGACTGTGCGGTTTTCTCCCGGTAGGTTTTCTAGCACCGTCCACTTCATGCTGTTGACTTTGGACTTGAGTATTGGATTGGTGATGTCGTCCACTGACTGTATGTTCAGTGGTGTGCGTTTGATGGCCGGTTCTCTTTGTCGGAGAGGTGAGTTGGTGACTGGGTTCCTTCTGGTCTCCGCCAGTTTATCCAGTTGCTCCTGTTGCAGTGCCGGGGCGAGTTTTGCAATCGCGGCGATGGCTTGCAGGGTGGGCGAGGGTTTTTTAGCTCCGTTGCGCTTTGCTGCATTAAGGTAACTCCCCGGTTCTGGTCTGCTACCTCCTGCTTGCTCTCGCTTCCGCATTATCAGATTCTCCTTGGCTAATTTCCCGCATAATTGCGTAACTACTTCTGAGTGGCTTTCCCGAGGGTGAAGTACTTCTGGATCTCTTGCATCAGCTTCTTGAGGGCTGGTGGGATATTAGTCTTATCTTCAATAGCGTAGGAGGGTAAATAACTCTCTGACGGTCTTTTTGCACTCTTGGAGTGAAGAAGGTGGTTTTGGGATGGTGTCCATCACGGGGGGGGTGAACAGCGAGTGGACCATCTTGTGGGTGTGATTTGGCAGTCGCAGAGTGGGGAGATCTAGGCAGAATGCCCAGAAACTGGATACTGGGATTCTCCCCGGGCAATCTTGAGGGGATGTAGATCCAGGATGCAGGACCGTACTGCACTGTGCTTGGTTCTGATGTCCGAAAGGTTTCCAATGGTGTTGGGTGCCGATCCCTTCACATGACGGACACTGTAGCAGGGGTTGCATGACCTTAAGGAAGGCATTGAGGATGGGGACCGTGATGTCTTCAGGGTGTATGGTCTTCGCGAGGTCTTGGAGTGCCTTCCCCGTCGTGCACTTCTGGATCGATCTAAGGACCCCAGCCTCAATCCTAGCATTTCTTGACTGTTTGTTGGGCGATTGACTAACTGGTTCTTTCATTACTCCGTCCACTATCTCTATGTCGTCCATGGATACTCTGGGGAAGCGGATGCCTTGTTCTTCGATGATACCGACATCTGCAGGGTGGTCGGGTATCTCTTCAGGACGGGGTCTTTTCTTGACGGTGAGTGGTTTCTCCCCTTCCTCCTCCTCATCCATCTGCTCTGCCCATGACTTCTTTGTTGCTTCCCTCTCTGTCTCCATGGGTGTTGGCTGCTGTGTTGTCTGGATCTCTTCTTCGGATGGCCTCTCCGCGATGGAGGCCGTCCCGGTCAGCTTGGGGGCATGTCCGAAAAAGAATCAAGTTTTTTCAAAAAAAAAAAAAAAAAAAAAAAAAAAAAAAAAAAACCCTTCTTAGCTCAGTTGGAAGAGCATCTGACTGTAACATTGGCTGGATCACACCAGTATCCTAGTCACTAGCCATCAGGAGGTCTCCGGTTCGAACCCGGAAGAAGGGATTAGAAAGTAGCTTTCTTCATAAATTGCGGCACTCTGACTCTAAGTATTCATCTACTGACCTCTACCAACCCCCGTCACTTCAGATGCTATGGATATCTGTCATTGTTGAACCACTATGAAGAATTCACTTAGCCTTTTTTAGTATCTCCAGAAAGCACCTTTTTCTAAGAACGTTAGAAAGAAAAAAAGTTACAAAAGACTTGCATCTTGCGCACCTCGCCTCTCTGAAAGAATGTTGTGACCACTCAACTCCCTGATCCTCAACAACACAACGCTCTCCGGCGCCCAGATTGACCGTCAGCCTTAGGCGGCGCTGCAAACACTGCATCGCCGCGGCGACTTTCAGTGAGTGCAACAGGCTCACTCATGTGTCGTAAGAACCGGTGAAAATTAGAGACAGAGTAAAACGGGCCCCCAAGCTGCTCGTTTCAAAATAAACTGCTATCACTATACTAAAACGTGGTTGAATGAGACGAATAGTATAGGTACGGCATTTGACCAAGCCCTGCCGAACGAAGACCTCTCGAAAGGGTTAGAAGGTGTGGAAGCAGCGGCGGCCCTTCTAAGACTGATAGTCTCAATTACCAGTAGAACGCGCTCCAGTCTACCGTTCTTCATAGCATTACATAGCATCCTTTCGCAATTGCCGGGAGCAATAGTCTCGGTTGTCGTCAAACCTCAAAAACCTTCTTAAAATATACTGGATGAATTTTAGTTCGCCTTATTTAAAACGTCAGATGAAACAAGGTGCCACTGAAACTTACTAAAATGAGCTTCCAATTTCATAACAAGCGACTAAAGCACCTGCGAGAAGCACTGGGAAAAAGATTTCCGGCCCACTTCAAACTACGATTAACGTCCGAGATTGCGTGATCCAGTACTGTAAATAGATTGACTAAATGGACTTCTAACATGATTTACATACTATCACCGTGAGCTACCCGCTTGCAATGTTGATAATTGTAGTCAGTCATAATCTTTAATATCGTTTTGGTCAAGCCTCATCGTGTCCAGAGCACACACCAATCTCGCGCGAAAAGCTAGAAGGTTGTTTCCAGGAAGATACTCCTTGCATGCTATGCAAGTATTATGATGTTAAAGTATGCACGCTTAAGCCTATCAACTCACCAAGACCAAAAGTACTTGAGTAATGCACTTTGAAGTTTCCTCGGTGAACGCGGATACCTCTTGTCCAGCAAATCCTTCCAAAGGCTCTCAGAATTCTTCGGAGTGAGGCTTTCTTGCACGAGAATCTTGTGAAGGGAGGATTCGTTCGAATCTTTGTTCAGAGCATTGATTTCCACCCACGATCTGAATACGTCCAACTTGGGACGATTTCGAGCGATATTTCTCATAGCGGTATTGATGAAAATCTCTAAATTCGACTTCATCGTTATAGAAGCATTGTTTGAGGCTCTTCTATGCGCCTACGTAAAACATTCCTCAGGCTTATATAATCGATAACGGTATGCTGAGAGTGGGTAAACAAGACATCGTCCATTACATATCTTACGAGCAAGGGGTCATAAACGGCAATCCCATCCTGCAGCTTTTCTTCCGTGCTCCTTTTTAAGTAAGGACTTTGGTGGACGGAGAGAAACGCTCTGAACAACTTCATCCTGCATATTGGTCGCGTTTTTCATCTCAATATTTCTCTGTATCGAAGATCCTTGAACAGGAAACTCATCCGCGATAAAGTCGTTTCCGGGCTCGTCTCTAGGTAGCTTAAACTCCGACTGCGAGACCTCTTGCCCAATAGTCTTTACAAATTGCGTAGAATCGTCCATCCTGGAAGCTTTGAATAAATTCGGATCTTTCACAATCTTCATCACTGTCTTCGTTCTGGCATCCCTTTCCTGCGTTTTTCTGTCGAACATGTCCGACTCGTCCATACCACCAAAGTCGGAGCTCACATACAACTCGTCCTCGGTGCTGGATGCCTTTCTAGACTTGGTTCCTCTTCTGCTCTCCACCCTCGTTTGTCGACTGGCAGCATGGGTTCATTGTCAACAGCGGCCAAAGAATGCTTCAAAGGTTTATTTGGTAGACAATTTTGGATTTCTCCAAAAAAGAATCATAATGTCTTTCATACTAGTCGCAGATTCGAAGTCTGTCCTTTTTGGCGTTAAGAACGAGACTTTACAGATATCTAATCAAATGCTTTCTTTGAGCGGTGATCTAGATTATTATTTTAAAGTGAGTTTGAGATGTTGGTTTGAGGGTAAAGTCCCTTTATTTGGCGAACTAAAGGCTCTTCACCAACGAAGTGTTTTATGTTCCGTTAGATAGCAAGAATTGCACGGCTAGCGTAAAACGTAAGGAGTAAGCAAATAATAAATGGTTTCAGGATATTTTCATTATTTATTTCGAGGGAGAACCAACCAACCCGCAGCGTATATACCAAACCTTGGAATCCAATTATAAGTGGACAGCTGCGTAACATCAACTTTGAAAAAAATTACCTTCCAGAAATCACCCACTTCAAAATGCATCTCCTCCGTAGCGCTCTCGTTGGCATTGCATGTGCCGTCGGTGAGTATCTGTATTTCACTTCACATCACATCACATCACACCCATCAACTCCCTATTCCATCAGCCATCCCACCTTTAGTAGCATGCATTTTACCACTGTGTGGTTGATTGTGTGGGTGTGTGGCGGGATGAAAGCAAAAAGATTGTGGCGGAATGCTTATCGAGCGAGTTGCTGTTGCTCAATAGAGAAAGTTCATCTTGTTACGGACGCCTTTCAACCCCATATTTCTTCAATGAAAAGATATAGTGGAGCCGATTCTAATCCTATCGTAAACAGTTTCATCGATGGCCAAGCCATTGAGTGATGTGCATGCAACCTCTCTTGAGCTCTATGCCCGTCAATGCTCTCGAAGAAGGAGGCCGCTTCGCTGTGACCGTTTCTCGTCAAGATGAGCTTGTCGAAAAGGACGACGTTGTTGGTGAGTTTCCTTCGGTTTTGCGTTTAAAAGAAGCCTAACTCTGTTTCATGCACTAGCCGCCAAGTTCACCTGACATCATTATGCTGTTTGATGTACCCCCAAGGGCGACATTACTGTTAACGGTCACGAAATCCCTATGGGTCTCAGCAACGTCCCAAGTTGAGGCCGCCACTATCTACGGCTCTAACCCCCAAGCCCTTAACATGACCCGTCAAGAGCTGGAAAAATCATTTGACGTTGGTGTTGTCGGCATCCAAGTCCTCGCTACCTCTGAGAAGGTCGAAGTTGACGGCCAGAACGTCACCCGTATCTCTATTGCTGAGCGTGTGTACGAGCTTAACGGAAAGGAGGTCGTTCAGGGTAACCAGGATGACACTGTTGTTGGTCAAATCGTTGACGTTTACCCTGATGGTCACATGGTTCGTCAAAAGGCCTGCCCCATGGCTGTTGGTGAGAAGCTCATGCCCTCCCCCAATGGCCACCGCAGCGGCTGTATGCGTCGTTTTGCCAAGTGGTTCAACGCTCTCAACATGTCAGACAAGGCCATCTTTGTGTCCGCCTCTGGAACCCTCATTCTTGTCTTCTACGCCATGATTGCCCGTCTTGCTTACAAGCTTATTCGTGGTGATGACGAGGCCCAGAAGGAGCCGTTTGAGTTTTTCAACAATGACGTTGTTGAGGAGGTCAAGTACGAGAAGGTCACCATCTCTTATGAGATGCCGCCTTCCGACCCTGTTTCGGAGGAGGATGACCTTCCCGCTTATGGGCCTGGTTACCAGGCCGTGGCTACCTCTGAGCCTAAGAACTGAGAGGAGTTAGGATTTTGTTTGGGGTATATTCTCATAGGGTTATTTTGTTTGATAATGTTTCCCTTTATCCCTCCGCACTCCCAACACCAGAACTCCAATTACTTTTTTCCTTGCATGCCATAAAATGTTGGTTTTCCTTTTACTTGGTCGCTGGCGCACTTTTCCTTTTTTTGTCATTCCCTTCTCCCAAATCATTTTCCTTACCTTGAAGGCATGTATATTTTTTGATGAACAGAGATTTTATTCTTGAATTCGGTCTTTTTTTGCAATCTGTCAGAATTTATGTTTTGTTTAAAGTGGAGTTTTTAGTATTTTATCTTTACCTATCTTGTTGCTAACCCATCTCAATTTTACCTCATGTTTTCTTTTTGTTTTAAGGATGCATGATACGCATATGATGGAGTCGATAGTGTGACTTTTTTTGTTTCTACACCGTCTGACACCTCATTCAATAGACGCCGATTCAAAGTATGGAGATGCCATCATCAAAAAATAAGGCGTTTCAGTGTCTAATTTGACAAACCACAAATCCTTTAACAAGCAAGAAAGACTCGCTCCATGAACACCACCGCCGACAGTCACCATGCCGCACCTCAAGCGATTCCTTTGATGGATGCAGATGCGCAGAATGTCAAGGGTGAGTGATTAATCTGGTTTTATAAGAAGGATGGGGAGGTAACGTTATAACTTTAGCTGAGGGAGACTGGAGTGCTCAGCAGAACGCTGAGGCGGTTGCGACGACCGCTTGGTGTTGTTGCTGTAATAGTATTGTACTGTGCTTTACGGCAATGTGTGCTGGATGCTGTTGTGGTATGTCTTCATGATTACAATCTGACCCTTTCATAACCTCCTTGTTCTTAGAATGTGATTGTTGCTGACATTTGGGTATACTGATCCTTTGGATGCATGCTGCTTTGTACTTGGTCCAATTGAAAGCTCTTCTGCTATTGAATTAGGCGCGTGATCGATACCCTTTCTTTTATGGGCATTTTCGTTTTCTTTTCTGAATCTTTGTTTTACGTTTCTTTCCATTCCGTCGCTGCTGCCCATTTTTTTCTACTAGTTTCTCTGTCGATACGTACATCTTTTATTACTTTGCAGCTTTTTTTTTCACTTTTGGAGGAGGACTCGGTGGGGTTTATCGTCTTGCATTTCTGTATATGCGTCTTCCGTTTATATCTTCCTGTACAGTTCAATATCGAAAATTGAATCTTCTTTAAATCAAACGTTTCCAATGCC